TCCCCTAGAAAGTACTCAACTATGGAAGAGGTGTCCTAGCACCCCAGAACTCCTAGTGTGAGAAATGGTTACACTAAAGAGTGCCTTAGCAAGACGGGAATTCCCAGTTCCAGAGGCCCCAGGAACAGGTGCTCTGGTCACAAAGGATGGCTTTTGGGTGCTGATTCATTTAGGAAAAGGACAATTCACAAAACCTACAGGGTCTGTGGCTCGGACGAATTTTGTTTTTTCTTAAAGGGCAGAAATGAAGAAGGTGTTTGAGCACGTTTCTCTGTCCCTCCCCCACCAGCCACAGCACCTTGGGCAAAAACCCCCAAAGTCCAAGGGCTCCAGAGATGAGGATAAAAAAGTCTTGATGTCCTTAGATAAGCCTTTCTGGCTAAGAATCCTGCACTCTGGCCACACAAGCATCTTGCTTTTCCCCTTCTGAGGCTCCTTAAGCATCAGAAGACAGTAGCAGTGTTGCACTACAAGCCAGATGGGTTGGTTTGCAGCCTTAAATGTACCTGAAACATTCTAACCAGAAGAGTAACACAGTGTAAGACTTCCTTGTCTTTCCTGGAGCTTCCCCCAAGGCCTCTAGCTTAACCCAGCTGGGCAAGATCCTTCACCCTGAACCCCAAAGTTAGCCCTGAGCCCAGTCCTCTGCTGGCACCCCTCAAAGGCACAAATGCACACACTTGCACACTTAGCAAGTACTTTCCAAGGCTGTTCTCTCTTTCCGGGGAAATAAAGCCTAGATTGGAACCTTCTGCCCAGCTTCCTCACTTGGCCGTCTGGTATGAATTAGTGTTTTTATAAGGGACTCAAACAAATCGAATACAAGGTCACCAAATAATTAACAGTTGCGAATTCCCTCCGTCCCCATTAAAATACTTCCCTGCTTATATTTCATTTTCCGTTTGCCAACGACAACAGGGTCCAGGCAAAAGTGCTAGCAGTGCTGGGTTGATTACTTCACGCAGAAACCCACTGTTCTGCATAAACAAGATGTAACAGGCAAGCTTCAATAGCAGGAAACTAAGATGCTCTAGAATGCCTTCCTCTCTCTGAAGTCTGTGCCTAGCATAACCCTGCCTCCTTATAATCTTTGAACTGAAGATTACCAGACAAAGTAGTAAGCAACCCAAAGCAGACTCTCCTGGAGTCTCTCCCTGTAAGGGTTTCCAACCCCTAAAGACACTTCCATGCGCTCTTTGGTGTTATCTGTTCTTAGCTGATTTCTTCTGTAAGCAGGCTTGTAACAACAGCACAATACTAGCAACTGTTCTCAATTCAAAGTCTCTGTGAAACCTAGACAGAAGTATTCTTAGACTCAATTGATTCCTTTCCCTCATCTTTGAATCCTTTTTGTTTGTTTGTTTCCTTTTTAAGTTGGTACTTACCAAGTAAAATCGCAAGGCAGGATCTCTCTCTCTCTCTCTCTCTCTCTCTCTCTCTCTCTCTCTCTCTCTCTCCCTCCCTCTCTCCCTCCCACCCTCCTTCCCTGTGGCCATTTCTTCACCCTCCCTCCTAAGTTCTAATTGTCTGCCTTGTCCAAACCCCAGGGTATCAGAACTACTGGTCTTTGTGATTTCATGATATCTAACTTGGTCCATTCTGACTCTGTGGTCTCTGCTCCTCACCAATACACAGACACACGTTCTCTTCTCTAAAATACTTGTTGATGTACAACATGAAAGCATGTTAAAATATCATCCATAAAGTAGTTTGTTCTATACTACATAAAAACATAAGGAAGCCGGGCATGATGCATATTCAGATCCTTGAATCCAAAGCTCCATAAGAACTACTAATTGGAGCTTTAAGTACCACAGAACATTAAGCGAAAATTAAATCTCCCTTTATTTTTCACGTCTGTATCTCATCACAGTTCTTAGAAACCTCCTTGTTCTTACCCTATCCATATGGTGACCCCCTTTAGTATCCAGTGTCTAGAATCTCACCTCCAACCAGACCTTGAGCAACTAAATTTCTCTTGTCTTCTTTAATTCACCTCTAAGCAATACAGCACCAGTAGCAAAGAATTAAACGAGCTCGTTCATGTCATAGCTTTTAGCACAGGACTTGGCCCACAGTAAAAGGTTAATCTATCTTGGCTACTGTTATTTACCCTTCCAGGGCCTTTTCAAAGCTTGCAATAAGGCCTCCTTCGGGACTATTGGAACTGGGAGCAGCACTCGGGACAGTGGAGAAGGCCACGGTGTTTCTGTGGAGTCACCTCTCTCTTTCCTCACTTGACGCGGCGTTTATTACTGCCCTCCCAATCTCAAACACTAGCTTCAGGTATAACTTTTAGGGAGCAAGACATTAAACCAATTCGGTGCCAGTTTCTCAGTACCTCAGAGTTTGTAATCAACTTGGAGGCTCCTCCCCAGAGGGACCCTGGCTCCTCAGATCCCAGCCCACCACTCTGGAGATTTAAACCTCCCCTAGGCAATGCTCCAAGTTAGCAAGACCGACTCCTCTCCTGGCTGGCCCTTTTCTTTTTTGCCTGGCCACACAGGGACTGGGGGAGGGGATGCTAAAGAGTTTGGCACGTTAAGAACCCCCGCGCGAGAGGGGCGGAAGTCCTCGCCAGAAGCTGGGGATGCGCGGTTAGTGGGTCCGTTCCATCACGGGAGACTAGACACCGTTTGATGTGTTATGACATGAACCCTCAATTAGATCGCTGAGTCGAAACACTCCAATCAGGGGCCCAATGCTAAGCAAGCCCCGGAAGGTCCAACCCGAGGTCACCGCCGGTGACACATCAAATCAAAATCAGTGAGAGGGAAAGTGAGGTTTTCCCTTTATCAAGCTGGGGCTGCAGCCAGCAATACAGCCCCTCCTCCGCGCACCCCTCCAGTCCCTCTCTGCCCCCTCCCCGGCTGGCTCCTTTACACCGCGCAGTTTGGCGCAAGCAGCACAGCCTTCCAAGTGTTCTAGCTGCTTTCATAGAGTTTCCTTCGAACTTAGACGCCTAGGAAGAGACAGAGCCTTCGAAGCTACGGTTCTGGGTCTTGGTGCTCCGAACTAGGGACCTCTGGCAGCGCTATGTCCAAAGCATCCTGGGGTTAAATCCACAATCTCGCTGACCTCACGACCGTGGATGGCTAGGGAACAGTCTTCCTCCACTCCCCCACACCTTATCCCGTGCTCCAGGAGCCTGGGGACGCCCAGAGCAGTGCCTGGGCTCTAGGGTGTGTGGGTGCCTGCCGCAGGGCATAAAAGGATGAATATGCAAGTCCAGGGGGGGGGGCAGAGACAGACAACCTTTCATGCTTTCCGAAATTCCAAAATCGTCTACAGACACCTGGGAATAGCCTACCTTGTCCTTTGGTCCTGTGCCAACTCTCAGGGAGTAGTGAACCAGTAAGGATGCCTGCCTGGTGTAGATTGTCACTTCCCTGGTAAAGAAGGGCTTAGGCCTCTAGGATTTCTTCCCTTAGAGCAGTATTCTCTGACCTTCCATCGCCTCTCCTTTGAGAAGTTAACAGAGAACTTGCAGGGGGAGAAACTGCACTGTGCCGCAGCCTGGTAGGAAGGAGTTGGCGCTGCGGTGGAGTACCCAGGTCCAAGACCTAGTAGCAGCAATACGAAGAAGCCACGTGTTTTTGTAAAGGTGACTTTATTATTCCTAAAATCATCATAAAATACGGCGGCGTTAATTTGCCGTCAGGACCTTTCAGCAGCTCATAACCCAGCTGACCTCGGATTACAGCTGCGTACCTGGCGGGGACCAGAACCTTGACTAAGAAGGAAAGCAGCTTCGGAGAAAGGCTGGCCACTGGAGATTGAGTAAAGCTTAGGGTTAGCTGGGTGAGGGGAACATTAACCTACTCTGGAAAGGTTCAAGAATGTGAGACCTTTCAGGCGATAAAGGTAGCTGAGCAAATCCCTCTGTTCAGTCCCGGGCCTCTTGGGTTTCTGGATACTTTGAACCTGGACCTGCAGCTTTAAGAACAGCATAAGCTAAGTCTGGGAGTGTGGGAAGCGGATGCCTAAACTCTTAGCTCCTTTTATATTCTCAGTACCTTTTGCTCTGTCCACCATCCTTTCCCTTTTCTCTCCTCCTTTCCTGCTTTTTCTGAATTGGTTTTTCCTCTCTTGGAGCGGGTGGAACTTTCCCCAGTATCCGAGGTTTAATCAGAAGACTTTGACTATGCTGTGGATCACCTATGAGAGCAAGAGGGGGAAGCTTGGGATCCTATAGAACTGTGCATCCTGACTGGTACAGGGGATGAGGGTTGGGTCCGCTAGATGCTCAAACAGAAGAGCGGTGTCTGTCTGGGAAAGGTGGTTGTGTATACTCCTGCAGTACTTCAAACCCCAAGAACCCCACACTCTCAGCTGTCCCCGTCTGGGCCCATCCCGTGACTGTGACTTGAGAACTATCAGGTGTATGATGCTAGGGGAGGGGGAAAACGGTGGCCGAAGGAAGTAGAAGCTCGTGGGGCTGATGTCTCCCACACAGTGCGCAGGGCTCCAAGAGAACGCGCAGGACTGCTGGATCAAGGCACTGCCTGTCACTGATCCTAGACTCTAGCTGCATTGACCAATTGACTACCTTGTGTGGGCTTTTCTTTGAGAGACTGGAGTTTCGAGGTGTTCTAATGCTCTCCCAGATGCTCCAGGGCCAGCATCTCTTACAAGTGTTGGTCGCAGGGTCCCTCAGTCCTTTCGCTGACCCTTTTCCCTTCCCCATAATTTGCCCACCACTTCTTTTCCTCTCCTCTTCCTCCCCTAGCTACCAGCACAGTGACCACCACGATGCTTTCCGCAAAAGACGAGAAAACAAAGAAGAGAGAAGAGGAAAAAAAGTAAGAGAGTAGGAGAGGTTTGCAGACTGGAGCAAAATCTGCAGCTGCACTCAGAATTTTGGGCTTGAGAAAAGAGAAAAGGGGAGGTGTCCAGAGTGAGAAGGGAATTCACAAAAGCGACCTCCTGCCAGAGCCGGGCAGCGTTCCGGGTGAGGCGCTCCAGTGTGAGTGGAGTCGAGCGCTTTCTTTGCCACTTACCCAGTCCTCTGTCTATAAAGCTAGTGATCGTATTAGCTGACTTGGAAGACTGGAAAAAGCTGGCATTGATGCCCAGCTTCTCGGCAATGGAGTAAGTCCTGTAGATTGACAGCATGTACTCGTGGGGCACCACGCGCGGTCCCCTGCTCGGAGGCTCCTGCCCCTGAGACTGTCCAGGCGGCCGCCGGGGTTCACTGTGCCGCGGTTGATGCTCCTGGGACGTCCGGCCCTCCACACTCTCTTGTGGCGTCCGCGGCATCTTCCCTTCTTTGCGGCTCCTCGCCTCTTTGGTGGAGTCCAGTTCGGTGGAGGAGGACGAGGAGATGGAAGCCTGTTGGAAACACGGCAAATCCCAGAGGAAGCTGATGAGGAAGATTGCGGAGAGCAGGACCCTAGGAGTGTTCATGGCGAGCGAGTGGCTGAGTTTCCCGGAGAGGCGGCGGCGACAGCGGTGGCGGCGCTCCGGGCGCGAAAGGCGCAGAGCAGCTGGACAGCGGCGGGGGCCGCGTTCCTCCTGCAGACTCCGAGTGCGGGGAGCCGGGTAGCAGCTACACAAACCCAGGCCCTGCCACGCCCCCTCCCGCCCCTCGCCGGGGGGGGAAGAGGAGGGAGAGCAGCTCAGCGGGGAGGGGGAGGGTGGCGGGTAGTGCGGACAGGAGGTGTGGAGTGGGGGCTGGCGGTGGGCTGGGGTGGCGGCGTGGCGCAGCGCCCTGGCGGGAGGCTTACAAGGTGAGAGCAGGGAGACCCCCGCGGAGTCGGGAGGGCTAGCCGGACGAGCGGGAACCGAGAGCCACTGTCCGCGGGCAGGGGAGCGTGAGCCGCACGCAGCACCAGGGGCCGGTTGGCCAGGGCGGAGAAGCCCACCCTGCGCAGCGCCGCGCCGCCGACCATCAATCCCGCCAGCTGCCCGCACTTTCCTGGGAGTCAGCGGCCTGGGGATTCGGGGACCCGGGAAGCGGCAGCGGCGATGGCCAGAGCTGGCTCGGAGCGGGTGCTTCTGCCGCAGGCTGCGCGCTGGCTCGCGGTTGCGGTACCTTCTAGCTCCAAACCCGCGATTAGCACCTTCAGGGCTCAGTCCTGAGCCGGGGAAGGCAGGCGCGGGGGCCAGTCCTTCACAGCTCCATCGTCTCGGTGGGATGCTGCTTTCCACAAAGACCCGCGTCTATTCCCGACCTTCGAGGTCAGGCAAAGGCCACCAGTCTTCAGAGTTGGGACCGGTGCTCAGAGCTGCTGAGCTCCCCTGCAGGCCCCAGCCTCTCCTCTCGCAGACCCCAACCCCAGGCGCTGGTTCCAGCTGCTTCATTTCTCTTTCGTGGGATCCCCGGCTTCTCGGGCCCCTTGGGGGCTTGCCTCCCTCTTCTTCTACGCCGGTACTTCCCGTTTTCCTCTTTCCGATTGTCTTCAGGACTTCTTTCTTCCCCAAGTTCCTTCTCATTCGGAGTCGATGCACCCCCACCCCTCCACCCCCGCCCCGCTCCTGCTGTTCTTCTGGTGGCCTCCCAACGCTCTCTTTCCCACCCTTTCTTCCCCTCACCAGACCCCTCCCTTCGCAGCTCTACCCCAATCTGTTTCTTTTCAGCCCAGCCTCGCCCCATCACGAGTTTCCTTTATCTGTCCCCAGATTCCCAGTGTCTTCCCCGCCCACTGCCCCGCGGTTTCCAGGCGAAGGGTAGCTTCTCTCAGACTTCGCTCTAGACAGAAGTTCTCCAGGGTCCCTATGGGGTACTCAAGCGCCAACCTGAAGTGTCCTCCGGCAATCATCCCACTTTCGTGGATTTTAAAAAAGAGGAAAGAAAGAAAAAAGACTCAAAGACAAGTGACTTTTCCAAGACCATTCAGCCTAGAGGTACGCAGCCAAGGATAGACCCAGGGAGGGGTGACTCTGCCACTTTTGCCATGTCGGAAAGTTGTCGTGGTTTGACCTGAGGTGGCTGTTTCTCTGTGGGTTCTCCGCCCCGCCCCTTCCCTCACTTTGGGACCCTGAAGGCCGGGCAGCAAACTGGGGGAGGCAATGTTGTTCTCCCTGTCCCTTGACTCAGATTTCCTTTAGGTCAGAGTCATGCCTCACATCCGAACATCCGCCTCCCCATCTCATTAAGGCAAACTCCCCAGGATGGCACAGCTCCAGAGTCCGTACCTTTAATCGCTAGGCTATTGTCAGTGGCTGCTTTCCTCTTGATCACTATGGATTCAAGTTCTACTCTACCCCGTTGTAAGTCTCTTAGGGCTAGTTAGCTCCTGATTGCCAACCCATGACCTGTCTTGGACTTGAAGGTGCTTACGTCAGCTCTGCCCTTCCTCTTTCTGGGATTGAGAAGGTTTATTATCGCTTACTAGCTTAAGGGCATGACAGGAGAGAAACGGAAGTTTTAGATACTACCTGGCAGATATTAGCCACTAGGATAAAATGGCCTCCCTGCTCAGGACTCTTCATTTTTGTTGCGCCTGTTCTTGTCAGATTATCACCATCCAGAGACCACACCCTCGGCACTGAACATTAACACCAAAGCCATTGCCATTGGAATACCCACCGTCCCCTCCCTTTCTCTCCCCCTCTCTGCAGCTTCTCCATCCTTTTTTTTGTAAAACCAGCAGTCAACCCCCAGTCTCCATCTTTCCTGATGTCCAGCTGTATCCCTCGCTGCTTGTGCTGCCTTTGGGCAGCATTGCCTTGCTCCTGCATCCTGACCATGAAGTGACATCCTGAAGAGTGGATGCCACCCTCCTGTCATATGTCTGCATCCCTGCCCTCTGGGAATCGAAAATGTGTGCTTTGTGCTGTCACTATTTTCATTTCTGGTACTACACTGTCTGTTAAAGACAAGTCATGGTGTTAGATCCTTCTGGTTCAGTAACCATGCTTCCTACTTGTGAAGGCAACCCTGCCTCTCCACTCAAGCACCGACACACCAGTTACCTGCGGCAAGTTACCAGTAAGCAGGAAACAAGGCAGTGCAGGACAGTGATCACACTGCCTATGGCTTGCACCCCTTCCGCTGACCATACAGTCGTGTAGAAAGACAGGGTCCCAGAGGGATGTGGGTGGGCACCTATCTTCAGGATACCCCAGGGCAGAAGTTACTCTCTCATTGTTACCAGCCTCGGGGCTGTGTCAAGACAATTCTTTGCCAAAAGGGCTATAGTGATCATTTTACAGGTGAGAAAACACTGATGAATCTACAGGGAGTGCTGGAGGTCACTGGCAAGTCAGAAATATAACCAGAAGCCAAGCCATTCAGACTCCTAAGCTAACATTTCCTATAGTTAAAAATTCCCTTCTAACTATGTTTTAAACAAAAATCCACCCTGTGTTAACAAGACTTCAGTAAGGCCATTGCTCCAGACCTCATGCCCCTCTCATGTAGTGTGTGTGTGTGTGTGTGTGTGTGTGTGTGTGTGTGTGTGTGTGTGTGTGTGTGTGCTGTGATAGTAAATTATCAGGAGCAAACCATTGCCAGATTTGCTTTTAGGTTTCCACACTACACAATGAGTCTTTGAAACACTGCTATGGAATTTTAAGTTTCAGCCTAGTCTTAGATTCTCTAATGATTCCTTCGGCACTTTCTTCTGGGAGGAACATTTTTAAACAGTGAGAATTAGAGTCAAGTCCCTGAAACACATCCAGCTCCAGACTCTTGGGACGCGGTATCTCCTGCCCCCCTGTGGACTCAGGGGGAATTACTACTCAGGCAAAACTGCTTGAACAAGGACTAGTAACCCCAATTATTATCTTTTAAAGAAATTGTTGATAGGAATTGGACATCACACTTAAAACACATATAGAATTTGGCAAACATTCATAGGCTATAGACATTCCTACGCAGAAATACAGGATCAAAAGCAAATAAAATTGCCATATTTATTACCATGTTAATTTTGTGCTCTTGCAGTTTTTAAATGATTATTTCATATTGAACCAAGGAGAAAATTTTCTCTTAAGTAAAGAAAAGAGTCTTTTCTCAGAAAGAATGTGGAGGGGTGATAAAAGCCTCTAGTCCCATCATTCAAGGAGGTAGAGGCAGGAGTCCCTGAGAATTTGAGGCCAGCCTGGTCTATGCAGCAAGGCTAGCCTGGTTTATACAGCAAGGTCAGCCTGGTATATGCAGCAAGTTCCAGGTCAGCCAAGACTACGTGATTAGAACCTCTAAGGTGTCTTTTAAAAATAGTATATACTATACTATTAGTGTAGCAGTGTAAGGCTCACCCCCATAGGAAGGAACCCTCATTTAAGAAGCCCTGGAAATGCACCCCACGGAAGGTGTCAGGAAGTACCTACAGGGTCATGGGAATGCAAACACTTCCTTAAGGCAGTGTTCTTATGAGGACAAGAATAAAATATAAACACCCTCTGGCGGGATTTGAATTTATGTTTTACTTTCACACACTTCTGAATAAATTGATGTGTTGCAATCTATTAAGATCAGACATACTATAAATGGCCCTAGAGAAATGAGATTTAATATGGGTAAGTTTTGATTAAAGGAAAGTAATTATGGATGCCTGTGGATTTAAAAAGGAGTGGAGAGACTGCTAAACAATTAAGAGCACTTCCTGAGGCTGGGTGGGGTGGTGCACACATTCACTCAAAGCACTTGAGAGGCAGAGGCAGGTAGAGCTCTATATGTTCAAGTCCAGCCTGGTCTACATAGGTGGATCTCTGTTTAAGACCAGCCAGGTGATTCACTCCAGTTCCAGGGGATCTGATGCCCTCTGACCTCAGTTGAGCTCCTGCACACGGGATGCACACAAACTCACATAGGCCCAAACATACATATTAAAAATCTTTTAGAAAGAATTTAAGTATAGAAAACAAGGACCAGGGAAATGGCTCAGTCTGTAAAATGCTCGTCACACAAACATAGGGACCTGAGTTTGATCCCTAGCACCCTTGGAAAAACAATGGCACAAAAGGCATAGATTCAGTGACAGACATTGTCTCAAGAAGAAACAGGGAGGATGGTAAAAGACATCACACGAATGAGTGTGAGGCCTCTGCCCCACATGTACACACACACACACACACACACACACACACTAAAGAATAAGGCAGAGGGCAATTGAGGTAGATGCCTGAGCTGTGCAAGCACATCTCACACATAAGAACATGCACACACCAAATATTTTAATTAAAAACTGTAAGAAAATAAGAGCTATTAGTGTAGAGGGAGGACAGCATTCCCCGGAGCAGGTCAAAGATGAAGTGCCATGAGATCTGGAGCAGCTGGAGGGAATCTTCAGTCTGTGCTCACCTTAGGGAAGACAGAAAGGGAGGAGAAAAAAAATAAATCATACAACATCTCAGCTTTAGCTGGGAAGGCATGGGACTCCTTGATTCTCCTTGCTTCACACAATTTATACAGTCTTATTATTCTATTTCTTATTTTTTAAATCCAGGTTCTTTTGCACATGGTAATAAAAACAATGTGATTTCCCCTTCCTTCTTTACTTCCTTCCTTCCTTCCCTCCGTCCCTCCCTCCCTCCCTCTGTCCCTCCTTCCTTTCCTCTTTCCCT